GATCCCCTGAAAGCTATCTGGCTCTGCCAAATGTCCCTGCCCTGCCTGTCCTAGGAGGAAGGGTGCATGTCCACGCCGGGGCCCGTGCCAGAACAAGAGGCCTCCATCTGGCCGACCCCTCAGCCTTGTGACACGCTTATCTTCCTTGCAGGGGATCCTCCTGGTATATGATATCACCAACCGCTGGTCCTTCGATGGCATTGACCGATGGATCAAGGAGATTGATGAGGTAGGTGTGCACCTGTGGACACCCCCTTCCATGGTCATCCTCCCCAGGGCACGTGTGCTCCCATCCCCACAAGAGTCTTTGTGGCCCCCATTTGCTGCTTCTCCCGTGGCCCCAGCTTTGTGCGTCCTTTCTTGCATCCATGGCACTTGAAGGTCGGGATCTCATGCCTCAAGAGGCCATGGCTCATGGGTCTGAGCCCCACCTCATCATAGAATTGGGATGGGGACAGCCAAGAAGGGGGCATCCCACATTCATACCTGTGCTGAGTCTTCTGCCCCCCCCCCCAGCATGCACCTGGGGTCCCCCGGATCCTGGTTGGGAATCGGCTGCACCTGGCTTTCAAGCGGCAAGTTCCAACAGAGCAGGCACGTGCCTACGCAGAAAAGAACTGCATGACCTTCTTCGAGGTCAGCCCGTTGTGCAACTTCAATGTCACCGAGTCCTTCACTGAGCTGTCCCGTATCGTACTCATGCGGCATGGCATGGAGAAGATCTGGAGGCCCAACCGAGGTGAGGTGCAGCCAGTGGGGCCACCAGGGCTTGATACCTGAGTGTAGAGTGCAGTGGACAGGTGACCCTTCAGAGGTCGTGGTCCCTCCCAGGTGTCGGGGCTCCCCAGTTGTAGAACTTCCACAACGTGCTGCAACTAAACCAACTTGCATCCTGCATGTGCTTTATGTGGGGGTCCCAGAGTTATGGGAGAGGACTGTGCCTTACATTCCGATGATGCCCTCATGCTGGGGGTGGTGACCTGTCTCAGAGCAAGCAGGGGAACGGCTTCTAATCCCTGTGTACTTCCCGGTCCTTCAGCTGCTCAAGCCATGCCCACCCAGAGCTGCCAGGGATAGCTAGTGTTCCCAGAAGCTTCAGTCTCCTGCGAGGTGCTGGGGCAGAGCTGGCTAAGCTCTCAGAAGTGGGGTCCCCAAGGACATTTCTCAGTATGCAGCTGTAGGGAGAAAGCAGGAGCAGGGTGCCATCCAGGGGCTGTACCCGGTGGTGCCCTGCACCAAGTAGAGTAGTAGAGCATCCAGGGTTCTGGTTTGGAAACCTCCATCCCCCACTAGTGTCACTTGTGCTCATCTGGCCAGATGACAGCTTGTCCCTTAGTGTCCCCCCGACTCAGGTCCATAGGCTCCGAGATCTCTCAGCACCTCACTGTCTTTCTCTCCAGTCTGAACGTCCCCATCATCTGACCGCCCTGCCCATGGTCTGACCCTCTCCATGGCTGACCCCTGCCATGGTCTGATCCTCCTCCCATCTGACACCTCCCCCACCACTGATCCCTTCCCCCTATGGTTTGTTTTGACCCCTGTTGTCTGACTCCCCCTCTCTCTGACCACCCCCGCAGTGTTCAGCCTGCAGGACCTCTGCTGCCGTGCCATCGTCTCCTGCACTCCCGTGCACCTCATCGACAAGCTCCCACTGCCTGTCACCATCAAGAGCCACCTCAAGTCCTTCTCAATGGCCAATGGCATGAATGCCGTGATGATGCATGGGCGTTCCTACTCTCTGGCCAGTGGGGCGGGGGGTGGCGGCAGCAAGGGCAACAGCCTCAAGAGGTCTAAGTCCATCCGTCCCCCCCAGAGCCCACCCCAGAACTGCTCCAGGAGCAACTGCAAGATCTCCTAGCAGGGGAGGCAGGCACCGCCCATCCGGACACGCTTGGGGAGTGAGGTCTCAGGCTTGGGGAAGCTCCTTGCTGGGCGCTCGGGCGGCACCATGTGCAGGGAAGACTTTGGCCACATGACCCCTCCTGGGAGCGTGGGGCACACCTAGTAGGCAGGTGGTCTCAGCCAGAGGAGCCCTGTAGGACAGCAGAGGCTGGGTCTCTAAACAAGCCCAAGTCCCCACATGCTGTTCCTGGTCCCCCCTCGAGGGAACTGTCCTGGGGTCCCGTGGGGCCTGGCTCACTTATTTATATAGAAGACATTTCACCACTTTTATACCTTTTTTAAAGGGCCGACAGGGAAGCCTTAATGCAGCCATGGGGTGAGCTCATGTCTGCTCGTGGGGATGACCTTTGGGACATTGGAGAGGGTAGAACTGGAGGCAAAGATGGGGAGGAATTTACCGTCACTTACACTTCACGTGGAGTGTGGACTATGCAAGGCCCCGTGGGGACATGGAGCTCTGGGCAGCACTCTTGGACCCCGCTACCTGTGCCAGCCTTTCTGAGTATTGTGGCTAGTGTGCCTACCACACAGTACTGGTCAGTGGTGCGGTGTGGGCCCGGCAGTCTGCACAATGGGGTGATGTTCCTGTGTGTCATGGAGCCATGGACTCCAAGCAGAATGTCAATGTTTCTGGGAGAAAAAAGAAGTGGGGTACACCTCCCTCCCTGCGTGGAGGCACTTTTATATGTTGCTACGTGAGATGGGCTCTGCATCTCTGTGAGTGAAGATGCAGAGCTGTCTGTGGGCAATGAATACTTGAGGAGTTGCCAGGTGCTCTGCAGGTTTGGACTGAGTCTTGGCCCACTCGCCTCTGGGCGTCTGGATCCCACTCTTGCCAGCTTCTGTTCCCTGACCTTGGTTATCACCCCATAGCTGCTCCTCACCTGGCATCGCCCCTCTTTGAGGTCACATGTCACCAGAACCATTTCTTAGTGATGCCACCTGGAGCAGTCAAAGCAGTGGACCTCCTCCATGATCTGGCAGCCAACCCTGAGCTGGAGGCCTTCATTCCTTCCACCTGCCTGGCTGGTGACATGACCACCAGTCACACTGGTGCTCAACTCTACCTCCTGCTGGGCTCCCCTGGGACTCCTCTGTGGAGGGAGCCCTATGCCTGCTGTTCTGGGAGGCAGGTTGGGCAGGGGGCTGCGGCCCTTGTGAGCAGAGGTGCCTGGGGGCTCTGCTCAAGGCCTAGCCACCAGCAGGGTCAGGCAGAGGAGGCCCTGCCTGTCCTGTCCTGCCAACGGAGCCCCTTTCTTTGTATTTTGAACCAAATAACATGGACTTTGTTGTGAGGGTGTGGACGGTCCTGCGTTCACCACATAAACACTACCCTTTGCTGCTGACACTCGCACCATTCCTGAGCTCATTTTGGACGGTTTTTGTTTCTTTGTACAGTAAATGTAAGCTCTGACCTCCAGACTACATTTTATGTGAATTAAAGTCTCTGGTTTTAACTGGCTGGTCAGTTGGAGGTGTGAGGTGGGGTGGGTCTGCACTCTGACACATGATGGGTCCAGGGCTGCTTTGTCGATCCCACCACCCCCCATGACTAGTCTTGTCGACGGGTACACATCCTGGCCACTGGGGCCGAGTGTGGCTGCATCAGCCTCCCTGGATACAGGGATGAGCTGTGTTTCTCTGGGTTAGGCAGGCAGCCCACCCAGCCTGTCCTTCCCTACACGGCAGTAAAGCAGATGGCTGGCGGGATCACCTGTTCCCGCTGCCCCCAAGGCTGGAGCCTGGGATCCTGAACCTTGGAAACCGAACCCTCCCTGGGGGTGTTGGTGGGGCATAACCACTGCTGCCTGGGAGGGCAGTGAGCATGGAGCAGGGATGTGGTGGAGACGGTGGGCCGTCCCCTGACACGCACTCCAGCCCAGGACCATCACATGGGGTGGTCCCCATGTCAGCCCTCAGGACTGCACATTACCCCCACCTCAGGCCGCAGCTTTGTGGGAGGGTTCTGGGCCTTGAGCCCCGTCCAAAGTCTGGCCCACTGGCCCCCCATGCCTGAGGCCCCCTCACAGAGCAGATCAATGGCGTCCTCTGCACCTGGTATGTCTTTTGGTCTCATTCTGACCAGACCAGGCTCTTATTACCCTGCCTCCTGGGTCAGAAGGTCAGACACAGGGTCATGGGACGTTTTCATCCAGTCTTAAAGCAGATGCTCCTGGGGCCCCAGACCTCAGGGAAGGGTTTGGAAGGGCAGATTCTGGCGGTCCCTGTGTTTGATCTCCCTTCCCCCTCCTTCCGGGTCCTGAATCCAAGCTGGGAGGGTCTGTGAGGCTGCTTTGATCCCCTGAGCCCAGAGCCTGGAGGGAGGAGGGCCTCCGGTTACAGTGTCCCCTCCCCTCCCCACTCTGACCAGAGCCAGCCCTTCTCCGCCCCTCAGTAACCCTGGTGGCCAGTGTCTCCTTGCTCCTGGGCCTTAGCCCCTCCCCCACCACGCCCCCTGCCCTCTGTTAACCAGAGGGCCAGGCTGTGAAGGGGTCTTGCCAGAGCTCAGATCTGGAATCCACCCAGTCCTTTGCACAGGGGTGTTGAGAGGGAGCATCTGCTGTGGGCTCAGACCTTGGGGGCCAACGGGGAGCCCAGAGGATCGGTCAGGGGCCCAAGGTCAGGGTGCTGACCACAGGCCTGGAAGGGTGGATGCCTAAAGGGATCAGCGCAAAGCAAGGCCTGAAGGGCTGGCAGCCACACGCCCCCGCCCTCTGGGCCGGTGGTCCCCATGTCAACCCAGAGGCTGCTTCTACCGCTACTCCTCATGGTTGGGCTGACCTCGGGGGCCAGCCTGCTGCAGGGGCCCAGAAGCCACTCAGGCGTGTGCCCCAACCAGCTCAGCCCCAACCTGTGGGTGGACGCCCAGAGTACCTGTGAGCGCGAGTGCATCGGGGACCAGGTGAGTGTGGGCACCATCCCCACCCACCCCGGTGGGAGTCCCAGGAAATTAGGGTGGCCTGGGGGAAGCTCAGACCCTATCCCCTGACCCCCAGCCCTTCGAGTCTCCTTACTCTTCTCCCACATCCTGCAGGGGCTTCAGGCCATGCTCCTATGAGGGTCTTAAGGGACACTCCATCTTTACCCTCATCACCCACCAAACCTGCCCACCCCCACCCAGGGGTCAGTTGTTCTCAGGAACAGCCAGGTAGAAAGGCAGGGGCCACATTTGGATGCCCCTTTGCAGCCTGGCCATGCATCCCCTGAAGTGGCCTTGAGCATGCTGCCCGTCTCCCCTGGGCCTCAGTTTCGTCATCTGCACTACGGGAATAATTAAACCTGCTTTGAGGCGTGGGGGGGGGGGGGGGGTGG